CAGTGGCGAATACCGTACTAAGCTTGCAAGGTTGCAGCCCAGGCTCAGCCTTGAATGGCGTTCTAGCTAGTGAGCCATGGACTTAGGCTGCCTGAAACCTATGGTCCAGGCTAGCTTCTAAGTGACTTACATGTATGCCCCATCCTCCAAACGCTTGTCCGGCAATTGCAATTTGCATGTGGTCCGACCGAGTAGAGTCACTAGGTGCCATTCGACAGATTGCAATCCATGCAATGGTTTCTTCCGGTATGGCCCAAAAGGAAGAGGAAAAGTGTACTCTTCTTGCATGATGACCAGTCGGACTCATCAAAAATCACGGGCGGCTGGGCCATCTCCACCTATTGATGACCATTTTTGGCGTTCAATTCAACCTTACAACCTGTAGCAATATACTAGACTACCGGTACTAACGAAGTAAATACATAAAGGTCTGTACCTTGTATCTATCAACGATTTTATATACTTGGGCCTGTCGCTAAGATTTGACACTTATTCAGTGCGTCAACGGGAGGGGAGGAAGGGCCCGGCTCCTACCCCATATACATATGCTACCGCAAAGCTGGCTTGCATGCGATCGGATCATTGTCGGACGCTTAAGTGAGCCTCAGTGCGGCAACCGGCTATGCATGTGCAAGTGCCATCGCATGTCATGACCGGATCCGGCCAGGAGCGGCCTTGCTGCAGCTTAAATGGTTGTAAGTTGCAGGCTGCGGCAGTTAAAAGGTCTGGCCCATACCTACTTACCCAAGGGCAAGGCCCCGCCTCCATGGTGTCCTAACCACTTTTCGAAGCCGATACGATGTTTAAGGGCAGTTCTAAATCCAGGCCGTCCAGCCCTCATACATGTTTGCCAGGTTGTCGATGCTTGTCGCTTGACGAAGGAGCGACTCGACTTGCTCGGAGACCGTGAGCAACCTGCGCAACCATGCTAGAAGTTAACCACTGTCCGAGGCATGCGAAAGAAACGTAGATCGAAGCAAATTCACTATGGACACTGAACGAGGAACGGGTAGAAGCGGGTAGAGGTCTCTGTAAGCGATTACCACCGGCTCCAAACCTGCTTTGAGAGTTGACAATGGACCGTACCGCAAGGGTGCAACTCTGAAACTGCAGAATTTCAGGGGGAACAGCCGAGACGGGCAATCATATAAGCCGGCGCTTATTTTGGATAAGCGACTTTCGGGCCTCATCGAAAGTCCAAGGACTTTGCAGACTCGAAACGGGTGAGCCTAGCTGCATATCTTCTGGACGCCGGTTCGGCTTTCCTTCCAGCGACTTTCGGGCCCCAATGGATCAGCAACGAAACTTCGTGGGGAAGTGCGCTGCTTCGTACACCGGGGTTTGGGCTTGTCTGAAATGAGCGCCGCATGTCGTAGGTTCCCAATGCGGGATACCACAGCACACACGGCAAGCTGAATCCGAGTTGGCCCAGCAGTCCATCAAAAGACGAAATCACGACTACCATTGCACGTTTGAAAGCGGGACTTGATAGCTATTCTACACAGCGTGCTACGGATCAACGAGAATTCAAAAAGTCGTACCTTGATGACGTCGGCACGGACGGGATCACTGCGTTGATCCGCCCTTCCAACTTCGCCCTCACTGTTTCCACCACCGCAATCGCGTGCCTGTTCCGCTCAAACCCGCTCCCCTTTGAGCCGGTCTCGCTGCGCTTTCCCCCGGCCTTATTCCTCTCCTTACCCCGACCCGACCTTCCCCCTGGCTGCCCTTCTACCGTGCGCTCCTTTCCCTGGGTCGCATTAGGTGTGGTCGCCCTCTCCTGGGTCGTTATAACAGCCTTGTCCTGAGTCGATCTTGGCGACACGCCCCGATCTGAGCTCGCTTGCACGATCGCCCCCTGCTGCGAAACGCTTCCAGGCAACTCCCCCTGGTCTCCGGACGCTCCGGACAGAATCCCGGCCCTCTCTTCGGACGCACTCGCCGGCTGAGCTCCCGTCTTTTCTCCGGCCGCTTCGGACGGCGCCCCAACCCTCTCTCCGGACGTACCAACCAACCGCGCGCCGCTCTTTCCACCGATTGTTTTGGACGAAACCCTGGCACGTTCCACGGACGCTTCGGACGGGGCTCCCGTCCCCTCACCGGACAGTCCGGACGCTCGTGCGATCGCCGCAGCCTCGCCGAGTTCGTCCGCGATCCGTGTGTCCGCCGGCGCCGCATTCTGCGCGAGCGCGTCCCCGTGGACCTCGTCCCCCGCACCCCCAGCAGCCTGAGAAAAACAGTTGACGCGGAGCATTTATATTCGGAAAAGATTCGGTGCACATACGATGATTTGGAGAGCGACCATCAATGGACGTGGTTAAACTTTGGGGTTGGCCCGACATCAGTTGTCTGGTCTCTTGCTCCCAATGACTAGAGCAACTGAGCGATCCACTACGTTCATAAAGACATCTGTGCATTGGTGCCCCATTGTCCTTCCGAAGGCGTAAGCTTGTGAACAATTCACCCATCCCTGCATCTGTTACGATCAGCCGTCTACTGAGCCGCTCAAAAACGAAGCTACCGTTCTTCAGATCCCGATCCCCTTGATCACCAACCTATTTTCGACGGGAGGGCTTCCCATCGATCAGTCAGGTTATATGTCTCCTGCAATTCGCTAGAAATTCACTCAACACGCTTACCCGCTGGAGCGCCGCGGACGCGTGCCCCGCCGCCGTCTCCGCCACCTCCAGCACGCTCTCCAGCACCTCTTCCGCGTTTTCCGGAAGCTCTCCCGCCAGCTGACCCACAGTCTCCGCAGCCTTGGTCGATATCGGCAAGAATTCCCCCAGGAATAAGCGGACCCAGGGGCCAAGAGCCGGGCTGGTTTCGAATTGGTCGAAGCTGGGGGCGGGGAGCGTGGGGAGGGTTTGGACGAGCGGGTTCAGGAGGGTTCGGAGAGGGTTTAGGTCTTCCTGGAGCTGACGGACCTGAAGAAAGAGCGAGGAGAACACAATGAGATTGCTGAAAAGGGGGCCGTGGGTTTACTTCTAGTAAGCTCGTAACGATACGAAAAACTGAGTCATTACGTCTTTTTCTTGGCTGAATACACATCGTGTGTTCGATTGTGGACCGCCATCTCCTCTTTCTCCTGAAATGCAAGGGGCGACGGTCACATTTGATTCGCATGAATCTTGATGGACACCATCTTTGCAAGTGACATCTTCGATGGATTCCAGACACTTATTTCCGAATGTGAAAGGCACCGCAACCCAGGGATAGCCCTCGCGTGGCACGCTCTTGCGATGCACTCAAATGCGAATATCAAACCGCCCGTTCCACGCCTTAGAACGCTGGACCCTGCAGGTCTGATTGCTCGCCCGATTTCAGCTCTCCAAACCTCCTGGTCTCACTCCACTATCCAAGTTTGACTTCAATTGCAAATCTCGTATAACTAGTTACCCTCACCTGCTCACTCAGCTCCTTTTGCACCGCCACTGCATCCTCCGCCCTCGCTTTCACAGTCGCGCTCTCGTCCGCCGTTCCCTCCGTCGCCGCGACCATCTCCCCCAATACCCCCTCCGACCCCCTCGTCAGCGCAGAATGCTTCTCCGCCCCCTCCAAAAACCCGCCCACCGCTGACGTCACTCCGGGAACCCGCTGACGTAACTCCTCTCCCAGGGCGCCCAGAGCGGCTCCGAGGCCCTGTTCTTGGTCCCGAAGCTGGGACACCGCCGCGACGTGGGCGTTTGCCTGGTCTAAAATTGCCGCGTGCTGCGCCCGAGCGTTTTGCAGGGCCTCCGCAATTGTCATGTGCTGAGACAACGCGCCATGAAACTGGGTTAGCAAACGGAGGCAGCCCTCGACCCAAACCCGGCCGGTTTGCTCGAGCCCCAGCGCCGCGAGCACGCTCGGCGCGTTCACGCTCCGCGCCGCCTCCATCTCCAGAACCAGTTTGCACAGCCGATTGACGGCTAACCCGGATTGCTCCGCCTGCCACAGGGCCTGGCGCCGCTCGCTTATCTTCTGCCGGAGAACCGTGGTGAAGTCCCCCCCGACAAAGGCGACCAAGGAGTCCAGCTCCTGCTCTGCCTGCTGCCCAACCGCAGCCATACTGGTCGCCGCTTCTTGGAGCGAAGCTAGAGCGTTGACCGCCCGGGTTAGGGCGGTTAGGACGGGCTCGCGTTGCCACCACCGCAAGCTCCCGGTTCCAAGTTCACCGTCTCGGGATAGCGCGGGGCGACCTTCCCACTGCCCGGTTGGCACCGTCCGCCGCAAGATGCTTTCGTAGGTCCATTCAAGCCTGGCGACTCTCACCCTCGCTCCCTGCGCCTGCCGCTCCAGAACAGAAATGTTCCGCTCTAGTTCCTTCGTCCGCCTCTGCACCGGGCCCAGTTCCACGGCAGCATTCGCATACCTCTCCAGGAGCGACCCTACCTCCCCGCTTACGTCAGCCTTTTCTCCCGGCTCTAGTTTCACCGCAAATTCTGCCAACGCCGCCATGGCCGCCGGGAAAATCTGCCCCATCACCAAGCCGCCTAGCGCTTCCCACAGCCTTTGCAGCCCCGCCGTTTCCACTTGCACCGTCAGCACACTCGGCCCTGACGTCAGCATGCACGCCTCGGCGACCGCCGCAAGCAGACCCAGCTGCGAGACAAACGCCGCTTCCTCCGTCAGATTCTTGGGAACGTTCCAGATCTCATCGCCGTCCTCGGAACCGAACGCTCCGCTGGAAGCGGAACGGAGCGAAGCGACGGATCCGCCGACCAGTCTCTCCAACTCTTCCGCCGCGCGCTTTACGACCCCTCGAGAATCCTTATCGAGAAGAGCCGTGAAGCGTTCTTTCGCAGCACGCACGGCTCCCAGGATCTCCGCCGCCCCATCCGCGTCCGTCCGCCCTTTCTCCCGCTCTAGTTCCTTTCTCAGCGCCGCAATCTCTTTCTCGAGCGCATCCCGCGCTTGCTTCGCCTCTCGGACAGCGTCCATCGGCTCATCGGGTCTGCCAACATCGGACACTCCCTCTCGGCTCTGAGACGGGAACCCACGTGGGCTCCGTTCCCTGCCTTTTTGAGGGTGCTCAAAGCCGGCATCTTGACTGGCTAAGAACCTGTCTCCAGGACTCAGCCCTAAGTCCGTCTGGTGGCTCTCCAGTGCACTTTCCTGAGAGAGCTGCCGCGCAGACTCCTGCAAAGGGTTCTCGTCAAACGCCCCCTTAACGCTCTCCAGAGACGCGAGGATCGCCCCGTCTTCCCCATTCACTAGACCGGGCGCTTCTCCCACCACTCCGCTCTGTCCGCCTAAGAAGTCGGACACCCTCGCTGACGTTTCGGACGCCTGCGCCACCAGACGTAGGCCCTCCAGCCGCACCCCCATGTCCGCAAGCCGCCGCTCCGTCTCCGCAATCCTTGCGCCCCGCTCCGCTGCCTCTTCCGCAGCCAAAATCAACCCGCTGACGTCAGCCCACATGGTTCGGACGGCCCGCAGCGCTTCTCGGACGTCCGCATCTCTCTTCAGCAGCGCGGCGCTCAGTTCTGGAAGCAGCTTCCGCTCGAAAGCGTCCGCTCCCCAGTGGATTGAACTCAGCGCTTCGCACAGAGCGGCCGACGAGGGAGTGCCACCTGGCGCTGCCTGGTTGGGCGCCGCCAGCTCGACGACTCTGTGCAGCGCTCCGCACTTGTCGAGAAGGGCCTCCAGCGCTTTCGCAGCCAATCGTACGTCCGTCTTCTGTCTCAAGGCGTCCAAATCGTCCGCAAGTGACACCGTCGCCCGGTGCGCAGCTGACCTCAGCTCCTGCGCTTTTCCAGGGGGGATCGGGCGCCGGGCCGGCGGTTCGAACGATCCAAACCGTCCGAAAAAGGACGCCTCCTCCTGCTGAGTTTCTTCGGACTCTAACCCGAGCCAACCGCTAACCTGATCAAACGCCTCTCTCTCCCTGCTCAAAAGCGGTTCCGCTGCTGGGACCTCCCTAACCAGCTTCCGTAACTGGTCCTCAACCGCCGCTAACCCGTTTCTCAGCGGCACATACTCCGGCACTGCCGCCTCGCTTTGCTCCTCCGTCAGCCCCACCAAACCCTCCAGTAACTCAGCCAGGTCAGCCAAACCCGCCCCGCTAACCGCCTTCTCCATGCTCTGCACACACTTCCAGACCGCACTCCCTTCCGCGTAATCGACCGGTAACAGCTCCAATAGCGCCCGCCGGTAACCCTGGAGTGCATTCACACCCTCTGCAAGGGTGCTGCTTCGGGCTTGGGAGAGTTGCAGGGTGCGGGCGTCGACGGCTTGGCAGGAGAGCAGCAAGTTTTGGGGGAGCATGGAAGCGCCAAGTCCGGTGCTCTCAAGGGCCCCCAAGAGGGTCAGCGTGTGCGGAGGCGGGGCGTGGCTGGCTGCTAAGAGAACCGAGGCGACCTGCAGAAAAGAGGTTCAGAAGCTGACTGAATGTTTGGGTGTACAAACATTTGACTAGTCTGTGGAGTCGGACTCAAGGTCACCGGAGGCGCACAGGAAGACAGCTGCATGGAGTGTAAGAACTATAAACGTGGACTTTGAACTTCGACTTGATTTTCGTCATTGTTTCCAACGGCACGTCCTCAATGCGAACGAGGACACCTATACACGTTACAGAAGCCTGCTTGCAAGCTTTCCAGCGGTCGGTCCCTCCTCGAAATCTTGTAAGAATCTGCAGACGGCCTCAGAAGATGTTCTGCGAAGCTGACTGTCTTTCGACAGAGCGAATGCATCCTTGCCGCCCAGATAGAGCGCTATACGACAGCCAACTCTGCGTGCCAGCAACAGCTTTGATATCAGCAGGCCTTCAGATACTAACATCCTTTCTTCAGCATTTCATGCTTCCGAGGAACGAGTCGACATGAAGCTTTTCTAAAGACGTACCGAAGCAGCGTCTGACAATCTGGAGGAAGACAGACCGATCAGAGGCATAAAAACCCAAAAGCGAGAAGGCGTTCCCTAATCCTTCAGCTTTCCAGATATGCAGATTGTTGATGATTGACTGCCCACTTAACTCACGCAGAGAAGACCTGTTCGAACCGGATCTCAGAATGACCACAGAATAACCACACAGCACCTCCTGAGGGTTCGACCTCAGTTCAGATTCGAATTGTCACTTCCATGGTTCGCTGACAAACGGAACCAAATGAGAAGCTCGATGCTTGGATTCTAGCGTCCAAACTAACTCCTGCACCTGAAGCCCAGCTTATACATGATGCATGAACCAGCGTTTGCGGCAAGTAGTGGAAGTGCAATCGAAAGCCCGTGATCATTGAGAATGACAAGCGCTGTAAGAACGCTGACCTGGGCAGATGTTTTCAAACTTCTCTGCCGCACTAGCACGGTCGTAAGGCTCCTGAATACTCTGCCACTCGCTCGTCCAGTCTCTCGATGCTGAGTCGCAGCAAGACCAGTATTCGGCCCAAGCGACTCAACCTAGACCATAAGCGGCAGATACAGCCGAGCACACATACATGATCCTCGAGAAGGAGGCTTGTTCATCAAAGCCACACAGTGGCTGTCAATTTGACATAACCAGCTCTTGAAAAAGGTCCTGCCAGAAAGGCGTCTGATGAGATCTATGCGACATGTACACTGAGGTCAACAAGAAGACCCCATTGCGTGATCGTCATCACTGCCTTTCGATCAAGCCGAAAAACAACAACGGAAAGGGAGCCGAATGCCAAATGTCCGAGTGCCTATGACCGAAGCCGACCACGCCTTCACAGTCCCCGCGCCTAGAACAGCTTAAACAATCAGAAAATCCTGGGAGCAGAATCGCGTGGCGCACCAAACGGCCCTGACAAATGTTAGCCATGAACGAAGAGGCTTGCTGAACCAAGAAGACCCACAGCACACTGTTGACGGGACTTGAAGTGTTGAAGGCAACTAATGAGCTTCGGGTTCGCCCAGAAAGAAACCAACCCATCCCACAGCTGTGACTTATTGCGTGAGAAGCACTGGGTAACTTCGAAAGCCTAGAAAGTCATCATCGCGTGAAGTCGACTGTTGAAGTGTGAAGATTCAATCAACAGCCGCTTAAGAATGGCTTCTTGATTTACAAGCTCTTAGGACGGCGCGTCAGACTCATCCAGGCCCGCAATGGCAGGAAAATTTACATTCTACACAATCTCTTTTTAATTTGCCCTTACGCGCTAGCCTGCATCCAATCACAAGTGGCAATTGCCATTTCTGCAACCTGATTTCCAGTGTGAACGGGACGTTGTGCAGAAAATGAAAACAGAAATTCCTATCATACATGCAATCAAAACAAAATCATTCTCAAAGTCATGCATTTAATGCAGCAAGTGCTGCTCTCGCAAGATCTGACCTTCCCATCTTCAAATATAAGCACAGGTGCCGCAAAACGTTTAGACTCCGTCGTCTCAAGGCGTCAGTATTGGACCACCACCTTCTGAGATGGTGATTCATCCCAGAGCGAACCATCTTGGCCTTCACAACTTGAACAGCTTGGTAGTGTCGATGGAGAACACAGACCCGTAGCCTTTAAATCTTTCAAGAACTGGGCAAAGCTGAACAGGTTCCTAGTACCACCGTACTACTGGATAAAGTCGGACAACTGGACTATGAAAGCCATGTTTAGAACTTATTGCTCAAAATCTTGAGTGCTTGCTGACCGAAGAAACTCGACCGAGACAAAATGCGTTTTTCCAGGGAAGACTGCTGATAATATCCCACTACAGGACTTACTCACAGACATCGACAATCGAATGTAATCACAAGCAGGCTGTTTCCAGTTCAAAGTGAAAACGGTCAAAAGTGGTCAACACCAAGTTCCTTTGCGTCTTAGAATCGGCCTTCCTGAGAGATCGATACAAGCAGCTACTCTCTTTGAGGAATGGGATCAAGAGAAAGTCTGGTTATCAGGCCAAGGAGCGATGCTTGAGGACTCTGCATCTTTGTGCAATGGGGAAGATAGGATCATTTGCTTCTACGAGATGCGATAGACAGAGACTTTTACTGCAGCAGCAAGCACCCATTCAGGTATGTTTGAGGCATCGGACCGACGACTCAAGGCCTAGGGTGCATACTAATCGGGCACTCTGGAGCACGGACTAAGATTAGTAAGCAAAGATATAAGGCCACAACCACAGTGAATATAGAGAGCACTCAGGCATACGAATCATGCGCTTAAAATGTGTCCGAAGGACGCTGACGGCACAGTATGCCAACCCAAAAGCCCAACGGATTCGTGTGCCCAAAGTCTTTCAACCCAACGAAGACGTGACTGAGGTTCTCAGGACTGCAAAGGATTGGTGAGCCACAAGCAGCTCAGCACACCACCATCATGACCAACTCCTGTAAACCAATTGCGTGCGATGCAACCAGCTAGGAAAGCCGACGCTGCAATACACTTGTTTCGCCAGTCGGAAACCCCAACAATCTCTTCTGCCGAACTTCTTACAAACCACTCCAACAAGGATCGGACAAAATACGACTGAGGGTTTTCAGATGCACGCAAGATGCGTGAGCTACAAGCAGCCCAGCGTAGCACCATCATGACCAACTCGTGTAGATGAGTGCGTGTTGTCCACTCAACTCGGAAGCTGACTTGCCAAAATAAGCACCCCTGCAACCGAGCCATACTTGCGAGAAGATAAGATAGAATCCAAGTTGCTGCTGCGCAGGAGCATTCTGCGCGGATTTGTGCTATGGAGTAAGGGAGTTGCGAAGCTCGCGTAACGAACGGTGTATGTGCTGATCCTGCGTTAGGGTGGTGGGAAACACAAGTCTTCAACAAAGTTGCAATACTCTGGTGACCGTTGGTTGTGAAGCGCAAGTCCCGTCAATCTGAGGAACTTTCTGAAACAAAAGTCTTATAGGCTTGAGGGAAAATGCAAAACCGGTGGAGGCTGCATAGAATGCCCATGGAAACATTTGCGCTGTTTATGAGATGAGTCATTACGCCTGACCACGCCTTCTGCAACAAGGTTATTACGGGCGCTCTGAGAACGAGCAGCAATAGGGACGTTTATTTTTTCGGTTCGATCCTTCAACGAGGAAGAACGTCATCTTGTGAAGGCAAGCAAAGAAGATGACGTCCATTCAGATACTTTTGCCTCCATGACAAGCGAGAGCAGCAAAAACCAGTCCTTTTAGAGACCCGTTCAACAACAGCACACAGCCCTGGTGGAACTAATGCTCACAAGAGCGAATGTATGACAAATACGTAGTCCACTTCTAATGAGATTTTGAGCGTCTACATGGCAGCTTTGTGAGCTGAGAACCGTGGAGTTGGAACAAAGAGGCGTCAATCGACAACACCTTCGTGGAGTTGACCACCAAGCCCGGAAGCGATCATCGTTGACTCCCAAACATGCAAACCAGTCCAATATATAATTAGCTTGTCCCTAAGAGGAGGACGCGAAACCCCAGCAGCTTTTCGAACAGCTCCATTTGAGCTAATTTCTCGGATCAACGATCAACAGGGGGGTGATGGCCAAGCAGAGGTCCTAGGAGGTTCGCAGGACATCAAATTTCCCAAACACCATATTTTCGCAACCGATTTCAGTTCACCACAAAATTACCATTCAATTCAAAACGACGACCCCAGACAACAGGGGCTAATATGCGCACCCAAAGTGGATTGTTCTTGCGGCACCATACGCAATGGCGTGCTCATGGTCGGATGTATCAAAAATTGCGCGTCAGATAAGCCTCACAGATGAACGCATCCCTGGTCTTGGTAACACGAAGCGGTTGGTTGACAAGGGTTAGAGCGATGAATACCACATGCACGTCTCGGATCGGACGTACCATTTGGAAGAGAGGCGTTAGAGGCTTCGAGCGACGGGTGTATGAGCTGCCCAGAGCGCTCAAAACATTATTGCTTCATCACTGCCATCTCAAGGCGCATACAGAAATAATAAGACAAGAAAAGCCAAAAAGGGCCAAGTTGGGTTACTACAGTAGCCGGAACGTCGAAATTGCTTTCCTTTGAAAGGGTACATCAGGAACTTCAACGACAACCCCACGCATTGAGTCGTGCGTTTCGACAGGGTTTGTCAGAATCGCTCCATATCAGTTTTGAACGGGCCTTTGCCCTCAAACAGGTAGGGGCGCGCAAAAGCTTCTCAACAGAGCGAGAGCCACGTCTTCGAAAGTCGAAAGGCAGGAGCAGATTTTCGAACCACTAGAATTTGCTCAGCTCCCTCTTGTTCGAACAGCGTGAAGAGGCATCTGCCGGACCTTTGATGGACTACTGAGGGTTCCAGCTCAATAGTCAGTCATAGCCCCTCCACAGGACCAGTCTACGAACACGACCGCAAGCATGATTGAAGATAAATAAGCCAGCTGACGCTCATCAGAAACGTCTGAATGTGGATCTCATTAGCATGACCTCGTGCCCATTAATGAACTTTCTTCATCGCCACAAATTCTAATCAAGGAGGAAGCTGCGTGCATAGAAACAAACTTAAGTCAGCCCAACGTCTTCAAATGTTGGGCCCACAGTCATGCTTCGACTCAGAATCTTGTTTGATGGTCGAGCAACTTTTTCGAAGCGAGCTCAAAATAGTACATGCTGTTCATATCGAATCATGGATTCTACAACCGATATAATTGCCGGACTCATGTGCCTTCAAAAGTCATCATGATGCAGACTCCAGAACAAGTGGGCATCAAAAGTACATGAGACCTAAACACGGTACTCCCCAAAAACGCTCTGCAACCATGGGAAACACGGCTCAGAATGCAGAATTTTGTACAACCCGTCCTCTCACCTGCTCTTTGGCCGGCCCGCTTCCCTTGAGGCCCTGTACGGCGGTCTCGTGCTGGTCCCACCACTGCCGGCTCTCCTTCGCAGCCGCTTCCACCCCCGCCCGCAAGGCCTCCATCTGTTGCAGCGACTCTGCTAGGCTGCTCTCCGCCTTTTGGGTCGCCGCTTGAGCGCCCCCGAGCTGAAGTTCGAGCATCATGCCTTGGCCGGCTAGACTTTGGGCCGTTTGTTGAAGAGCGGTGGCCGCGTTGACCGCGTCTCGGAAGGCGAGGTGAGCGGAGAAGAACGGAACGAGCTCGGAGTAGAGCGCGGGGACGCTGCTGACGAGGAAGTCGCGGTGCTCCTGCGAAGACAAGCACGCCACGTTCTTATGCACTCGTTTTGCTGTGAGACGCAAAACGGTGTCAGAAAGTGCATGCCTAAGCAGCATCTTCTGGCTGATAATCTTTAGATTGAAAAATGTAGAATACGAAGGACTTCAACCTGACGCACAAACTCCAGTTGAGGAGTTGCTATCGACCATTGCTCCCTTGCCAATCCTTGGAACAGGCGCACGTGGCAAAGAAGAAACTAGCGTCTTCCTGAGTTGATGATGTCATAATCAGAGCTCTGGGACTCATATCCAATCCAAGAAAGGTCGACGAAACCAGGTCACCTTGACCCACGCCTCACTTGCATGGCCTACTACTGGTATTACAGTAGGCTCGAGCACCCAAACCTTTTGAGACCTCTTTGAGACCTCCCAAACACGGGTATGCAAGCGCCAAGCATACCCAACATGAAACACGTCACCAAAGGCGAAATTGGAGCAGCGAGTGCTTCGCTTGCTGTTGTCCTTGCAATCGGCCGGCCAGCAGCCTCGAATCAAATACACTGCCAAAGATCAAACTACTGGATCTCCATATTCAGACCCTTACCAAACAATCGTCACGCACATCAACATGGGAAGAGTAAAATGCAGAGCCATGGTCTTTTAAACCGTACCTGCATGGCCTGCTGCTGTTCTTGCAGTCGGCTGGCGAGCAGACTCAGGCTGACGGCCACCTCCATTCCTTGGCGCTCCTCCCGCTCCAGCGCCGCTCCGTCCGCAGCGGTCCACTCGGCCAACGGCTCCCAAGTGAACACTTCCAAGAGGCCCAGGAGAGACGGCGTGTTGGCGCGAAGGGCGGCAAGCGTCTCCTCGCACGCGACACTAAGAAAGAGAAAGAAGGTGGGACCTTTTGCTCGAATCCAGACTCAAGAAGATGCGAGCTCATGTGAGTCATCCAGACTCAGTTCTTTCAGGGTCCTCCAGAATTTGGCACTGGAAGGATTCCTCAAGTCCCGGCGGCTGCCTGCTGAAGGCATTTACATGCCTTTCGCAAGCAATTCAATCACAAGAGGGAAAAGACATTCTCTGAAAAAGGGCTTGTCTCACCGGGGAGTCCCCTCAACCGCACGTCCGTTGCACGACGGGCATCAGGAAGGGGCTTGTCACCTTTCCCCCACAACCGCCTACTGAAGTTGTTAGTGTGTCTGAACCAGCACAATCAGAGGAATCGAACGGGGTTCAGAACCAACAAAAACAATAGCCCATCTCACCGGAAGGTGCCCTCGACCCCGGTCAGGCCGAGCGCTTGCTGCATGATGGGCGTCAGTCGGAACGGCACCACTTCCGGCACGCGCAGCTTGAGCCCCTTGTCAAACGCCACGTTGTGGTCGATGTGGACCACGTCAGCAGTCGCGAAGTCGATCAGGATGTTGTCCAGGTGGCGGTCGCCCAGGCCCAACACGTGGCCGACCATGCTCATCACGGCGGCAGTGCGGGAGTATCTGTATCGGGAGGGGATTGGGGGTAAGCTGGAGGCGTATGAAAGCGATTGAGACCGCGATGCTGCTTTGAAGTATATAACGGACGAGACAGCGACGCTGCACCTGACGTATGAGAGAGGACGAGGCCGCGATGCTGGTCCTGACATATGATAACGGACAAGACCGACTCTGGTTTCGGGGCGCAAAGCTCCTTCATTCCTTGTGTGTTGCATATGTCCTGGATCAAGTGTTCGCCACTCAAGCTTGAAAATACCTCCTGATTTGCTCTCTTGCCTTTTCTCAGAATTTTGGACTGTGAAACCGGTTGGTGAGCCCGGTTCCATTCAAAGAACCCCTTTTACCCAACTATTAAAGACAAACAAGTCTTTCGCAACCTTACCTCTTGATGCGACTTTGCCAACGCGACAGGAACGAACCCGTCTGTGGAACCAGTCTCCAGCACTTCCCAAAACAGTAGGCATGCTATATCTATTCGACTGACTGTCGGTCTAATATGCGATGATGCAACTTTCCTGGTTAACTGCAGCGTACCAGCTCAGCGTCACCAGAGTAAATGACGCCTGAATCTAATTGTGAAACGAGGTGACCATTCCAAGTCAAGCCAAGCTCACCGCTGCTGCCTCTCAAATGCTGACGCCGCTCCGCTGCTGGCGAGCCACAGCTCTTTCGCGAGCAGCTGCCGGGGTGTGTCTTTCATGAGCTCGATCAGGACCTTCCGCTTCACGTCCTGTGGCCACTCCTTACGACTCGTCACACGCCGCAGCCCCTTCTCCTGCAGAGCATTGACGGATGCGGTGAGAGGCCCTTGTTTGCATCAACAGATCTGTTGCCCAATCATCCCTTCTTTTAATTGAGGATGGAAATTATCTCGGATCTGACAATCTTTTCTTTGATGACGCACATCTTGAGGTTGGAAAGACTTATCGGTCCATAAGGCCTGGAACCAGTAAGCGCCCCACATAAAGTACGAGAAAAGATCTACAACCAGTCTGGGCGAAAAGCAAGAACGAATCTGGAGGCCTGCAGACATTGTCGTAGTAAGTGATGCTCCTTGACAGAAGGTCATACCCACAACATAGACGGCCTGACCGATAAGGCATCTCCTTAGCGCAGTCGAACAGATTGAAGAACCTCCTCTACATTGCGCCCCAGCAAGCGCATAACCCATGCAAACGAACGACCGACTCTCTTATTTTCGAAGACCTTTCCATCTGCTCAACATGTCCTAACTGTGAGAAACACCGCTGCCGTGGAACGGCACCAGTATTAGATTCAAAACAAAGGGATCACCCATCTCGGACTCTACTATTGGAGCAGTTGTAGCGCTGGTGACATGACCAATTCGGAAAGCTAAAAAGTCCCAAACAAATAAAGCTCTAGAAAGTTCGTGAAGGTTACCTTGAGGCCGGCCATGATCTTGGCGTAGTACAGGTCGCTCGGCCGCGGCGGGTGCGGTGGCACTTCTTGCCCGGCCGCTCGCCCCGCCTTGGCTTGCAGCGCGTATTGTCTTTGGAGCCACGCTTTGTAGCAGCTGTAGATGGATTGAAGTCCGGGGACCCATTGGATCAGCCCGGCTTTAGGCCCGATCGGTGTGACGGAGTAGTGACGGATGGAGAGGTCGCGCACGCGGGAGGAGCGGCGGGAGCGGAGGACGCTGTTGCAGGCGCGGAGGACCTAGAGGGGATTTCGGAAGAATGGTCAGAAGGATTCTTCCTTTAGTGGCATTAGGTGGGCTTCGACCAATCACGAGTTGGGCACCAGCCAAAATCTCCAAACCGTTGCCACTCCTCGTTTGATGGTTAGGCATTCGAGCTCCAAATCTTTCTGCAAGTCTCACTTTCTGTTACAGGCTGAACAACGAGAAGAGTCTCCATGTGCACCCTACGGCAGGGATAGAAGACGCAATCATGGAATTCTGGAGTGTATCTCTAGTTGTAGTGTCTCTCTGTTGTCAAACGAGTTTGATAGCAAAAGTGGCGAGCTTGTGAATATCCAGTCTAGTACCGAACAGCTCCGCTGAGGGAGCTCGTGACATCGGATTCAATCCTATTCGTGTGAAACTATACCTGCACACTCAGCCAAATCGGAGAAAGAAGCTTCGGAATCTTTCCTGAACAAAAACAAAAACAAAACAAATGCTACCAACCGAAACGGATCTAGAGAGAGCGAACGAACGTGGCAGGACAAGAAACGACAAAAGACCGCTTGGCAAACGGGAGCGTGGACTTTAAGAAGCTGCAGGTTGCATCCAAGAACAGCAACGACTTTCAACACTTGGACGTTGACTCAAAGACAAGAGCTTGTGCAAGAAACGGAAGTAAGAAAGCCTTTCGGCCTCAAGCCACTTTTATCAACGTGTCTCGTTCCATTGTATAAAGAGAGAAGCCTCAGCCTAATCAGCAAACCTTCCGGAAAGGTATCGTGATGTGTCGATGAAGCGGCTCGAAAAGGCAAAAAGAACTGGCAAACCGCCATATTTTCTCATCTCGTCGCCAACCATATCAAATCACCAGGCCAACGCTGGAGATGGTGACAAAAGGTGCAATTGATCAGAAACGGCATCCAAATGCTTTAAAGATCGGCTCGAATTCAACTCTTTGTCAAAAAGCTTGATATTCAGAGATGGAAATGGCACATGCTTGAATGCTGGGCACGGGCAAATGAGACTTCGGCTCCACGGAAATACTGCTTGTTTCAGGAACGCAACATGATCCGCTGCTGTAAAGTCCCATGATGCTGGCTTCTAATCGCTGTAAGCCACCAACAGGTACTCAGGTCAAGTGGTGGTCAAGTAAGACCAGGCACAGAATGAAGTGAACGTTGACAAACTTGCAAAGCGAACGGAGGCTAAAAGCTCTATGTCAACATGATTTACCATCATTATCATTTCGAGGTACAGCATAATAATCGGCTGTTCTAGTCACGCAAATTATTCTTCTGGCAACTCCAGTCCAAGCAGTCGTGATGGATGGATCCAATTATCACCCCCGAAGCAGACATGAGGCGAAACCTCATTTCCAAATGGTCTTCACGTCCCGTGAACCAGTTCTCCAAACATTCCGAGGACTCACAAGGCCAATCAATCAACTCTCCGGAAAGACTTCGTAAACTTCGACAGTGTCGATCAAGCGGCTCAAACAATCAAAACGGCATTGGCAAACTGCCATATTCTCTCATGTCATCGCCACTGAAATGTATAACACCAAGCCCGACACTTGAATTGGTCACAAGGAGCGCAATAGACCAGGCACAGCATCTAATTGCTTTTCGCATCAACTCGAGCTCAAAGCTTTGTTAAAAGGAGCAATGGTTGCTTTTCGCATCAACTCGAGCTCAAAGCTTTGTCAAAAGGAGCAATGGTTTCCTCAATGGAAGGGGCATAAAAAGCAAAGGGATGTAGGACAACAACATAACAGCTAACATAGAGATCTTGCTGCACGGCGGGGAAACTTACATCCAACACGAAAATCAACAACGAAGGCACACATTTTCAAAGCAACGACCTCTCGGTAAAGTACAGTGATCAAGCGACCATTAGAGACCTAAAAAGTACCGCAATTATCAAACCCGGCAATCTCAAGACGCTGGGACCGCTTTGCCACCTGACTGCTTCCGGAACACGAGCTACATAAGTACAGTCAAATTGCAGACCACAAATAAACCTTCAACGCGGCAGCAAATGCTCTTCACTGTGGCGTGCATACCAGAGTACACGAGTTTAAGAGCCAGCGACTTTGAATATCGACAAGAACGTTTCTTCTACATTGCCAATTCGTCATAATGAGCTTGTTACTTCTCGAAACGGCGAACATGGCAACTCGGAAGGAACGAGACGTCCCAAAAGCCCACAGAAGTGCACATTGATTTCGTCGAAGGCTTCGGAACCCAAACTTTCAAAGGCCTTCACAAATCCAAAGACTATTTTGAGGAGCGTTGAAATCTGTCGAGCACAATTTTAGAAGAGCCAAGTAGGAGCACGGGTATTGGTGGTCTCGGCCGCCGTATGGCGTCAACCGCAGCTGCTGCACCTAGGTGGTTCAGGAGCAACCGAAAAGTTCTTTCAGGAACCTTAGCAGCAGAAGATGCACGAAGATCTATGTGGAGATTCTCATCAGATCGAAACATTTTCTACGATAACCGACTCGAAGCCTGTAAGCGAATAGCGTCAGAGGCTTCAGCTCTCAATAGCCTAAGTGCAGGTGCAGGGATCAAGACCAAACGCACCTGGGAAGTAAACAGCCGCCAATTGTGGGACGCACGAGAAGGAATAGTCGAAATCGTGGGTTCTCGTGACCTCCAAATAGTTAGCATCAGAAGCATCGCAAGAAAACGAGATGGCACACGGTGGCCATGGACATGGGATTCACATCAAGAGGCTCAGAAAGCGACTATCTGCAAGACATTTGTGACGACGTCACATTAGCGCCTCATAGCCTCAGGTTGATAAAGCTTAGTTGCGAGGGGTAAAAAAGAAAGTACTTGTCAAGCTTGAAAAGCAAAGCAGTGAGCAGCCATGGATACCGAGTGCGCAAACACTTGCACCGGCTCAATGATCGTCTATATAAACGGCCTTACCTTGAAACCACCTCAACGGCAGGAGAAATGACCTCAACAGGCAAGCGTAAATGAAGATTACCTCAGATAAACAACAAGAGCGGGCATGTACGAAGACAAGGAGGAACCGCGGGCAATTACTGCATCCGACTGGCACCCATTGCCGGCCTCTGAAAGACCCCGAGCGATCAATGAACGCTTCGTGACTTCAGTTCACGTACCTGCATAATCTGCGCGTCCAACCGCAGGTCTTCCCGTCCCTTGAGCAGGTAATGGTACCGCCGCCCGTCGGAGCCCACCAGCCCGATCCGCTTCGGCCGCGTCTTCGTGCTCAGCATCGCCACGTCAGCAGTCAGCCCCGCTATCGTCACCACTCCCTCCGTACCCGGAGTCAGAATTTCTAGAGTTTCTGTAGACAGGAGAGTACTTGCAGTATTGCGGAAAGTGGTCGTTTGTGGAGGGCTTGTGGGGATAAGCGATGGGGTCTGGGACTCGAAGCCAGGGAGGGGCACGTGGCTGTTTGTGATTCGTGCGAGGCTCGGGGCGAGGTCCGCAAGCGGGAGCGTATGCTTCTGCAGCTCTGACGTCAGCTCGTGCGCGACCGACGCGAAGGAGCCCCAGCACGCGGCCTTCAGCGATGCCACGTCAGCAAACGTGGTGTTGTCAACCTCTGACAGCACCGCCGGCGGTTCGCGCAACTGCGCCAGCGCCGTCCGGAGCTTTGGCGCGAACCGCTCACGGAAGACGTCATCGTAAGCACTCCCCCGCTTTGCTGACGTGTTGCCGAGCTTCCGCTCGATCAGCACCGCAACGGGGGTCATGAGCGCCGCATACTTCGCCCGGTTGATGCGCACCCGGTCGGCTGACGTCAGGCTTGCGTTGGCGGCCGTGCGCTGCATCTCTTTGTGAAGCGTGCCGAGGCGCTTGCTGACGTCATGGCTGAGGTCGGTCAGGAGCTGGAGCCAGACTTCGCTCCATAGAAGGAGTAGGCGCTGAAGGCCCGAGGAGCCCAGCATGTGCTCGGTGTCGGTCACTGCGGCGGGGGCCACTTCGAGCTGCAGAGAAAGAAGGAAGAGGCAAGTTGCTGTAGTGAGCGTGGCTGAGATGCTGAGAGGACATAAGAGGCACTGACGAATCACTCAATTCTAAGTACTCCCAACTTATTCCAAAACAAACGTAAAACAAATGCGCCAGTGAAGAAAGCACTTAGAAGTTTGAGGCACGTGTAGATGTTTGTCGAAGGATAGCCAATATCCGAAGTCTGAGAATTCATCAACGGCTCAAAAGAGCTTTCGTTCAGATCAAAGCTGAGACTTATCATCTGGGCCTGTCAAGATCCTTCCCATCCCACTGCTTTTACGTCCATGATGCATTCCTACAGCGCATCGTGTCTATGTTTGCTTTGAATCAACGCTCACTGAAGCACTCTAATCTTGCCCCAAGGGGACTGCCAAAACACAAAGCCAGCGTAGCAAGCTCACCAGAATTGCCCTAAGCGAAGCCAACTCCGGCCCCGCCCCCTCCTCGCTGCTATCCGCCAGCACGGGGTATAGAACCGCCCACGGCAGTTCCCGTGCCACCCGCTCCAAAACGCCCAAAACTTGCCCCCGGACCTCCGCCTGCGGGTGCCGCCTCGCCAGGGCAAACAGCTGCGGCAGGACCGCCTGCCAGGCAAACCCCGGAACCGCGCCCAGAGCTTCGGCGACACCCCCTGAACCCAGTGCGTGAGTATCCCCCCCCTTTTCGGGGACGCCCCCTGAAGCCGCGGCTTGAGGGATCCCCCCGGAGAGAACCGCGCTGTGATCGCCCACCAGCTGGAGCAGGCGCACGAGGGCGCGGAGGGCGCGGTCCTCGCGGACGGGGGCGACACTGATGACGTCATCGGCCTTGCCGCTGACGTCATCGCCCCTGGGGGAGGACAGGCTGAGGGAGAGGAAGCGGGAGTAGCCCCGAATAGCCCCGGTCGCTCGTCCCAACCTCCGCGCTCGCGCAACCCGCCACAGAGAGATGAAGGCCGTCAGTTGCTCGTCGCCGCACGCAACCCCTTCGGAAGAGCACAGACTCTGGATCTCACGGGTAAGGTTCCCCTCGAGCACCCAGCTGGCGGGCTCCAAGTTCCGCACCCCTTTCTCCGCGGAAGCTGGGCGATCAGTGGTCCCCCCAGGAGACTCCATGGCTGCAGCAATCTTCTCGATTAACCTGCTTCGATCGCCGTTCGGCTCTGGCCCCGATCCCTCTCTCTCCAGTGCCCTGACTAGTCTGGCCACTGCTTCTCGCTCCTCCCCGGTCAGCTTTGAAGCCAAGCCTTCACCGCCCGGACTTGCGCCGTCGCACCAGACTGCGTGTCGATACCACGCCTTTCCAAACCGGGGGGCAATCCCGATGGCCCGTGACAGAGCACGCTCCTCGACGCTGACTTCCGACCCCAATCCGGCCCCTGCGCTGACCGCTCCCGCCAGCCGTTCGGATACTAGTGGGGACGTCCTAGGGGCCTGTGCCCACCCTGCTAGTTTCAGGCAGGCTCGGGCGGTGAGAGTAGACTCCGGTGGGTTAGCCGCACCAGCAGGAACGCCCGTTTCGAGTGCGTTCTCACCGGCAGAGAGGCCGGCGAGCTCTGCAAGCTGCGCTACTGCGTCGTTGAGACGGCCGAGATCGTGCGAAACCAAGGCGTGCTCTAACGTAAGAGAAGGATCTGTTTGCTCGAACTGTGGGCTTAGCTGTGACCGGAGGGGACCTTGCGCAAGCAAGCGCTCAGCAAGCCGAACGTTCCCTTGCATTCTGGCTAACTTAACCAGCTGCAAATGGATGGCTCGAAGCACGGAAACAGAAATGTTGGGCTGAGCAGCGGAGGTCGAACGACTCTGCCTCGCCGCCGTGTCTCCGAGTTTAACGCCGAACCGCACCGCTCTGAGCAGCTTCAGCCACTCCGGCCGGAAAGTGTCAAAGTGCTGCCCCTGCTGACAGGCGTCGCGGAGAATTGCAACCGAAGTTGCTGGCAGCTCGCGGGCCCCGGCGAGAGCATTTTCCACGATCCTGTAGCACTCCGCCTGCGCCAGGCACTGCCCACGATCCGCTAGACTTCCCGCAGTCACCGCTGCTGACTCTGGGTCATCTAGAAGCGCCTTCGCTGCGGCAAGGTCCTCCCTCGCTTTTTCCTCGTTCCCCGACGCTCCCAACATCACCTGCAGAAGCATCTGCTCTCCCCTTTGCACCGCTAACCGCGGGTGAAGCGTAACCCTCCGGTTCTCCTTCGAGGTCCGGTCCAGATGGCTCCAAGCCCCGTCCACATCCCCCTCGTCGAACTCTCCCAGGGCTAAAACGGGGTTAAGGTCCAAACCCGCAAAGCTTAGCCCAGCCGTCCATGGAGCGCCCGCGTTTGCCGCTTTTGACCCTTGCACCTTCGCTAACCACGCCTGCAAACCCTGCCAGTCCGTGACCGCAGCATAACCGGCACATGCCCGCTCCACCAGCAACCGCGCGTTTTCCACAGCCAACCCCTGGAGCGCCTGCGGGTTCAGCGCCTCTTCGCTCTTGGCCAAAGACGCTTCGTACTGCCCGGAAGCTTGCAATCGCATGATCTCAAGCCAACCAAAATTGTTCGCGGGACTCTCAGCGGAACCTCCCCCCGTTTCGGAACCACCGAGCCACAGCTGTTTCGGGAAAGCCTGCTTGATCCAAACTCCCAGACCCTGGACTGCGTCCGGCTCCCCTGCTGACGTCAGCGAGAGTGCCAGCTGGCGCACTGCTGTAGTGACGTCTTTCTGCAATCGGCCCCAGACATCGGCGCCTTTCCGGTCGGGTTGGCTTGCCAGCGCTCTTGCGGCGTTTCGCAGCCCCTCGAGCCGGAGGCTTGCATGCCAAGTTGCAGCAGAGTGGTCCTGGATAGTTAGAGAGACAGGATAGATACTTGAGCGAGCACGTCACTTCCATCCGTTTGAGTAGCATTAGGAAGGAACCCTAAAGGGAACAAAGGAGACGGTGAGATGGACTCGCTCACAGTGCTTGCTTGAAGGGAAAGCAGTTGTACAAGAGTCCAGACAACCTATTACCAAAGAACAGAAGTTTCAAAAGAGTTGTCTCCTCATGTTGGTCCGGAGTGTTTTACACGCAAAAGCTTTTGGAAATGAATCTAGACCTAACGTGGAAAAAGCATGGATGCAGAAATTGTCATTCCACCCCGACCAACAATTCAAAAACACTTAGCTTTACTGCATGCTTAAAGCTGAAAGCCCTTCCTTGGAACACCAGGAAACAAACATCGCTTGCCTTCAGAATGGGTCGCTTATACCCTTCCCCTGATCTGCCAGAGTGGCTTTGAAAACATTCACCTTCCCTTCCTGGCTCAGCACTGGAATCTCCGAGAGACTCAACCGGCAACGTTTCTTCCCACTATCTTCACAACATACGGGAGTGTGGCAAGAACTTTGACAATTTGTTGCTGTCCCAAACCGCTTTCCATACCTGCAGAGTGCTCGTTGCTTGCATCAGCAGGCCCCTGAGTCGAGCAAACCACTCGTCCACCACCTTCCTGTTCCCAGCGAAGAACGCCCCGACCTCCTCCGCAAAGGGGGGTAGGATTCCCGAGCCGTGAGTAGCCCCCCAGATCTGCCTCTCGAGCGCGTCAACAAACTCGAGGAGGAAGTGCATCGGAGCGAGCTTCCAGTGCCCCAGGTCTTTCCCCTCGTCGTTCCCGGCCAATAGCTGCGCGACAGCTGTCTTCAGCAGCTGCTCAATCGCGGCAAAGGTCTGTGTCGGGCCACCGAAGTGCGTCCGCAGCTTCAGAGACACGCAGTGCCGCGCCGCCTCTTGGACCAACCAGTGCTGGGCTGCCACGTGGCTGATTGACGCAAGCTGCAGCCAGTCAGAATCGACTTTACCGGCACCCTGTTCATGGCTCTCCTGTTCCAGGGGGGGTACACCTTCGACGTGGGAGGGGGGGAGGGATTCGAGGTCTGTGTTGGGGGGAGGGCTGAGGCTGTGGAGGAGGCGCTGGAGCCAGTCGTCTACTAGGGGGGGGTCCGTTTGATGCTGAGTTTGCCCCAGGTATTGGAGGAGCAGAGCGAGCTGCTGGGGCCGGAAAGAGCGGGACTGCTTGGCAATCGCGATCTGGTGAAGGGCACCTGCAAGGGAGTTTTACGCATCACAAACCCTGATGACATAGAACGGAGGGACTCTGGCTGCCCATGAGTAGATGCAGAGAGGAGAGGTCAACAACCGTCCCACTCTCAGCGTTCATCGTTGTCACCCGGATTTAGCACCGATTCAGACTTTCTTGCAAGTAGCGCTTTGTGCTAGCTGAAAGTCGCACCCCGTCTCGCTTCAAAACAATCACGGGCTAACGGCTGACCAATGTCAACAATTCAAGGCCCTATTTTAGGTCAAGAAAGTAAACGAACGATGCGCCTCTAGACAGCAAAGATAACCTATGAAATATGAGCGCAGCAGGAATGCGGAGCACGTTTACCAATCACGTCATTTACCCACCTCCATACTTCGCGGCCGCTCCACCGTTCCCATCCAGCCACAAAGCCAGTCCCGCCTCTCGAAGCAAAGCGCTCCCGACCTGCGCAACCCGCTTGCTGACGTCACCCTTCAGCCATGCCGCCGCTTGCGCCAGCTCCTCCGTCTGTTGCCACGTCAGCAGCCCGGCCCCGAGTCCGGACAGGAGGATCGCCGCTGCCTTTTCTCGTACGTCCTCTTCGGGGTCGCTGAGAGCCGCTAGCAGAGCGGGGAATAGTGTCTGCCCCAACGACCCGCACCAGGGGTTGAGGGACTTGACACCGCCTGGGGGAACACTGACACTTGATGCTGAGGAGGGCTCTGGTGTGTCAAGAAGCTGCTGAACCCAACTGAGCGCCTTGACTTTCAAGTCGAACGACGATGCGCGAGAAAAGGAGAGCGCGCACAGCCGGGCCGCCAGGAGGCCCTGTAAACGCAACCCCGCTTCAGATGCAGCATGGCGGATCGTCTGCAGGGCGTCGAACAGGGCCTCCCGAAGCTGGGGCAACGGTTCCGCCTCTACGAAAAACGCCACGAGGATGTGGACCGCTCTCTGACAGGGGGTTTGCTCCGGCTGTGTACTGCTAGGAGGCCCTGTTCTGCTGAGGTTTGCATCCCCAAGGCCCGGCTGGTCGCTTGCGGTGGGGTCTACAGGGCCCGCGGTTGGCATCTTCCCTGGCGGTTCTGCTGGCGCCGCCTGTGCCCCTTGATCGTCACCACTAAGAGACCTTCTCGAAGCCAAACCTCGCACAGCGCACGCCGTGAGCAACTCAACGTCCAGGTTCAGAAGCGCCAGAGCGCTCTCCGCATCCCGGTTGCCCGCAAACCGCGTCCTGAACCCCTTCCCAACGACACCCTCGAAGCCCCCACGCATTTTACGATGCACCACGGACAAGCTTGTGTGTGCCACGTCAGCAGAATCGTGTTGGAGCAGGTAGAGGGAAGTGCTGACGACAGCATGGACCACGGCGGGGTGCGGGTGGTTGCGGAGGCGGGAGAGGGCGGGGCTGGAGAGGAGAACGGCTACGGCTGAGGGGGGGAGGCTGACACGCTGCGAAGCGAGTAGTTGCTGGTTGACTTGGAGAACCGCGGCCACCTGGAAAGGAAGAGTATGGTGATGTCAGTTCTTTTCTTCAGTTCTCTCGGCATAGGAAAAGGAACGCACCAATAATTGAAGCCAGCCTCTTTATTTGAATAAAGTAGGGTCCATACTCTGGCGCTTCGTCAGACAATCTCAGCCAGAAACGTTTGTCAATGGAGTTAAGACAAACTTTTGTGCAATGATCCGTATGAGGCGAAAGGAAAACAGGGCTTGGGCTACAGATAAATCTCCAAAAAGCGAAACGTGGAAAGGACGTCCAAAAGGGCTACCAATTAGGCTAAGTTCCATGATAAAGCGCAACAAGTCCAGTAACCTGTTTTTCTTGCTTCTAATCACATGCTCAAGAGCTGATCGGACATTGTTAGCATCCAGTACCCAGTAAACCCTGCCGCCAAAACTTATGCGTCTTTGCTGTACCTGCGCTGCCTCGAAGTGCCCCGCCGCATGATCCAGAGTCTCCAGCAGGTAATCCAGTGCCTCCGAATAAAACGCCGCAAACCCCTCCCCTAGGATCTCTGCAAGCACCGCCAGGCTCCGGCAGCACTCCCTCGTCCACGTGGCGTCCTGCAATTGGCTGCCCACCCGCTTCGCGCACCCCAAAATCTGTGGGAGCCACTGCCTAGCGAAGGGTCGGAGGGTTTTGGCGCGCCCCGAGGAGAATAGGGATGACGTCAGCGCTTCCAGGACGGACTCAAAGCACCGGAGGAGGCATAGTAGGTGCCCGGTTTGCTCTGGGGTTAGCTTGGGTTCTGGCGAAACCGTGGGTTCGGGGGTTACAGCTTTCTCCTTGGACAGGATGCTGAGTTCCTGCTCCGTCGGAACCGGTGGGTTTACAGTGTCTTTAGACGGAGCAACGGTCCGGGCTGCCTCCGAAGTGGCCGCTTCCTTCGCTCTTACGGCGCCTATCCCCTCTGCTTCCAGAAATATGACATCCTCGCCCGCTGTCTTTTTATCCGTATGAGCCTTTGTGTCTCTAAGCCCGTCCAAGGGCTCGCCCGCTCGATTTTCACCAGCACGTGCCAAAGACTTTCCAATCTCCTCGCCTGCTTGCCACCCTTCCCTTTCCAAGCTTGAGCCTCCCAACTGCTTCTCCTCTGCATTATCCCGCTCCGCCCCTACTGTCGTTCGAGCAAGCGCCTCATTAACGCTTTCTTGTCCATCCGCCTGGTCCAACCTCGTTTCCCTCGTCTCTGTCCCACTCTCCAGAAACGCACTCTCTTCTCCGCCCTCCCTCGCCTCAGGCATACCCGAACCCGGAACACGCTCAGAGAGCCCCGTTGCCTTCCCCTCTGCATCTCCTCCCGGCTCACTCTCCAGCTTTTCCGACCTGCCAGTCCGTCTGACTCCATCTGACTTCAAGTCACCCAGCAATCGTTGTGTGTCCAAAGCGACGGGGTCCTTCTCCTTCTCTGTCCGATCTCCGTTCAAAGGATCGCTTGACGACTCCTCCTTGACCGTCTGATCTGTCTCCTTTGCTGGGACGTCCGAAACGACAGGCTCCGTGTCCACCGTCCGACCGTCCTCCAAATCTGCCTTTGCTCGAACGTCCGCAATCGCAGGCTCCTTATCCACCGTCCGCTTTCCCTCCAAGTCTGCCCGAACGTCCAAAACGGACGGCTTCGATGATCCCTCTGCTCCCGCCCCGTCCGAAACACCATCCGTCCGCACGTGTCCGCCGGCAGGGCCTTCCTTGGCGGGAACATTGGTCAAGCGCCCCAGGTCGCTAACCAGCTTCGATAGCAGGTTAACCGCGAACTGGTAGCTCTCGCCCCACAGGGAGGCGTGGAAGTGCAAAAAGGCGCCCTGCGTCATCTGGTGGTGGAGCCCTTCGGGGAGGCTCGGGTCGAGGGCCCACCCCAGAAGCACGTCGACGATGTCCACGAACTGGTGGCCGGTGAAAGCGCCTGAGGGGATAGTAGGAATTTTGGGTTTAGATTTGAGTAATGAGGGCAGCGAGTCAGAAACTGCGAGGCTACAGCTTCAAGAGCACGTCCATGCTGCCCACGAACTGGTGCCCGGTGAAAGCGCCTCCTGAGGTTTTAGGAGTTTAGGGTTTCTAGTTGAGAAAAAGGAGGCCGCGAGTCAGAATTTAAGAGGCTACTAAGAATGATAGCTCCAGGAGGATGTCCACAATATCCACGAACTGGTGCCCGGTGAAAGCGCCTGCAAGAAAAGAAAGGCCGCCATGAGTGTTTGAGAGACTTGATGATGTTTTGCGCAAAAACAAGGGCCGCAGTAGCTACTAGAAGGCTACTGAAATCTGTAGCCCCAGGCGCTCGTCCACGAAGTTCACAAACTGGTGTCTTGTGAAAGCGCGTGGGGAACAAGGAGGCCACCGTTTGGAGATAGGTCGGGAGATTGAAACGTCGCTGGAACATTTCATCCAACAAATCCGTTTACAACAGTCACGCATTGGTGCCCTCTGGAATCGGTTGAAATAAAGGAGAGGCCGACAGCGAATGAATTCCTACTAAGGGTTTCAGCCGCAGAACCAGAGATAGAAGTCCACACATTGTGGCCCGGTGATAGGGGAAAAATCCCCAAGCCTAGGTAGTCGAATCCCCCTTCCTAAAGACGATCCAGGTAGAGGAGTAGCAAAGAAGGCCAAGGCAACTTGGCCCAGAGTCGGGCGGATTTTAGCATGCTTCTTGCATGACAGTCCCTCAATCGAAAGCTGGACGCTTTCGAACTATCAACGAGGAACTGGACAAATACGACTGATTAATTCAAGAAGAGGTGCAAACTAGGCCCTGATGAGATGAGTCGAGGTTGAAAATAGTCACAAACCGAAGACCGTCAAAACGACTTTGGTTCCTCACCTGGAAAGTTCTTTCCCAGCGCCGCAACCAGATGCACCAGCCGGGACAGCAGCCCAATCGGCGTCTCCTCATCCTCCAGAAGCGCCTGAACCGCCACCAGCATCTTCCCCGCCTCTAGTTGCAAAGCCCCCGCCGCGCCCCGCGCAAACGCTTCGTGCAAAGCCAGGAGCGCAGCCGCCGCGCGGGCGTTCCCTGGCGGGGGTGTCCTCTGGAGGCCGTCTGAGAGTAGAGTGCGCGCCCATTGGAAGAATCCCGCTAGCCAACGCCTCTCTTCCATGCGCTCAGGATCGGGGGGCGCGGCCTCCCTGGCTCCGCGCTTGAAGAGACCCCGGGGAGAGGAGCGGCCTCGGGAGTTTGGCGCTTTGGGGGGGTTGTTCGTGGGGAGGGGGTCGCCCCCCCACCCTGTTGGGGCGGCCTGAAGGACTGTGTCGCCCCATCCGGTGGGAGGGGGAAAGTTGTTGAAGGGGAGATTCTCAGGACTCCACGGTGGTTGGTTTTCGACGCGCTGAGACGAACCAGAATGTTCTGTGGCTGCTGAGGGTTCGTTTCTCGAGGCGGGGAGAGTGTGTGACACGGCCGCAGCGAGGATGCCGCATGCGAGCGCGGCTGCTTGGGCAACGGCGAACAGCCTGGAGAAGAGAAGGACATGTTTCTATATCACACTGTTTGCAATCTGTAGAGGGAAACCCTGTTTATCTCACTTGTTCATTTTCAAAAGCATCATTTAGAGCGGTGGTAGCCAGAAAGGGCACTTGCGTGACAAGGTGGAAAGATTGCAATAACATTGAGATCGTCTTCATGTGAGCTGTGCCATTGGGCATTTAAATCTTCAATTCAGCCATGATCCAAATAGCACGTAATGGCAGCAATCAATGGACCACCGCGCCAAAACTCCGATGTTGGACTGAAATACTTTTCTCTAACTACGTTACAAATGGAAACAAAAGCTCTTCCTATCAGGTGCCATGGACATATGTGGGCAGACGACCTCAAAGAACAAGCCGGCACACAGCACACACACTGCTATTCGTGCATGACCCGTTCTCAACATTTCGGGACAGGCCAGAACGACTTGCAAATTATGACTGACTGATTGACATCCCTCAATTGCGCACCAACATTTGATGACGATTCTGTATTGACTAGCAGTAGAGTGAACAATCACAAGTAATGAAACAAAAACTGCCTGGCTTCGACACCTTAAAATTATTGCCACCATGGAAGCTAAAAGTGCGCATTACATCCTTACATTTGTATATTCCTACGTACACACTTTGAAGACCCCTCTCAACGTACTTATCACAGCACAATCCTCCGATGCCGGGCTCACCTGTCATTGCAGAGGTTTTGCAGAGGCGTCCAGAGCTCCCGCCAGCACGCCGCCACCGCCCCGCTCCCCGCGGGCGCCAGCAGCAGCTGCGACAGACTGCCGAGCGCATGGCAGCGTTCAGCAACCTCCCGGTCGCCCTCGCCGCCCCTGCGGGCCTGAGCCGCTTGCACGAGCGCGCGCGCATGCGCGGCGGCGTCGCTGCGCTCCCATCCGGAGTCAGTGGCATCGCCCATGCAAGCGCGGGCTCAGCGGTGATGGCGGTCACGTCATCGTGCCTGGGGAGGAGTCGCACAGCAAGCTTGAAGCAGGTAGAAGCCACCTTCTAGATACAGGCGGCTGCACCTCTGGTCCTTTGCACGAAGTGATTGGGGGACGCGAATTGCAGCACACCTGAGCCAATCAAGTTGCTCACTTTCTCAAAATCGAGACACCAACAGTAGAGAGGCCAGCCTCAGGCAATCGATGAGTCTGGGGGTCTACTCACGGTCCACTGAGTCAGATTTTGGCCGCGTAGCCCAAGACTTGACATCGACTTGAAATGTAACGAAATTGACAATGGCTGCCAACACCAGGCCCCACCAGGCAGAATCTTTGCAGAACTCATGCACTGAGCACAGTCCATCAAAAGCTGATCTGATTGAAGTTCTTGAAAGCTGGTGTCAAGGCAATTACATGCCAGGCCGTGGAATACTGGGAAGGCCTTGCTATCAGGCTGCAACAACATTCAGCAGCTCTTACAGGTGCATCTAAGGCTGAAGGCCTTCTACACAGGGCCCTTCTGTTTGTTCCACGGGTCAAGCAGGGTCCCTTGGGCCACCCCCATGGCGCCTGAATCATCATTGCGTCTGCTGGGGCCAGTGCTCAATGCACAGCTGGTCAAAGTGCCACCAGGGTGGGCATGCAGGCAGCCTGCATTGTGCTGGCAAGAGAGCTGGTTGGCAAGCGGTTCACTATAAGGTCAAGGGAAGGGGAAGGAGGCTTTAGGAGGTGCTAATGTCAATGGCAGGATGGCAGCATGCTTAGATAAGTTTCCTCTGTTGGCGGGGGCGATTGGTGAAGGCTGGCAGACATTCATTGCCCTCCTTCTATGTGTGAGTGACACTGTGGCAGCATTGCTGGCTGGGACTTTGGAGCCTTTGCCTGCCACAAATGGGCTGCTTCTAGAAACTGGCAGAGTTGGCAGAGCTCTCCCTTCTTGGCAAGGGTTATCTAGGAATCCCCTCAACAACGCCCCCCGATTCTCAAACAAGCCTCAAGCGCCTTCTCCTTCTCACAGAGGTCAAGCTTCCAGAGAAGTTTTCAAACTTCTTTGCTAGGGTAATTGTGCCAGCACAGGCCAGAGTACAGCGCCTTCAGACAAAGGGGAAGGTGGCAGAGCTGACCATCTTCCTTGGCGAGCGGGTGAAGAAGTATCAATCCTCTGAATCGGCAGGCGTTGGCAGCTCAAGAAGTCAGGTTGACGACTTCCGCACTCGCTATCCTAGGTTGCTCTCTTTGCTGGAAGAGAGCAGTTCTTGCACATTGGCAGAGCTCTTCCAGCCGTCCAGCAACGCGCAGGAGGCTCAGAAGAGCCGTGAAATACGGCAGGACATACTGTCAAAAGTGCTGTCAAAAAGTTGTCCTCTTTCCAACCGAATCGTCCTAGAGCTAGAGGCACTATGGGTTCGAGCTGGAGAGCCTCGGTCCAGTGTTGTGAGCTTTCTCCAAGGGATCGATCCAGCGGGTCTTGGGACCAGCAAGGCTCAAAGTGTAGACATGAAACTCTCCAGGCTCTGCATTGCCCACGCTGCTGCCCGCAAAAGCAAAGACTCGCTTCAACCAGCTTTCCTGAGCCAGCAGGACGAGACTCTCTTTGTTGTTGGGAAGCCCAGCCTTCGATCTGAGCCAATCGGAATCGCAACCCTTCAACGGCGCTTGCGGCGTGTTACTGCAGATCGAGATCTGTACATTGAAGAGCTTTGTGATGTTGCTAGCGAGCAGCGAGATGCTGCTAGGGCGGAAGTCGACAAGCTTGAGCAGGAGCTCGCTAAGTTGCGAGAAGCGTCCGCGCTGCGAATCTTGGACGTGGAGGGTCGGGTGGAGATCTTAGAGGAGAAAATTGCATGGAGCTTTGAAGAGAATGTGGAGCTGCAGGATCAGATGGAGGAGTTGACATTTAGACTTGCTGGTGAGAAGGTAGTCACTGAGGAGCGCGATGAACTGATTCTGCAGCTAGCGGCAGCTCAGCAGCAAGTCGACCTTGCGCAAGCGGACCTGGCAGCCGCCCTAGAGGCTGTCGCAGTGAGCAAGTTGCTGAAAAAAGGGGCTCGCCTCAATGCATCACCTCCAGTTAAACAGCGGTTAGTAGCGGAGTTGAAGCGCAATGCCAAGAAGCGGAGCAGCCGGCACGAGGCACAGGTGGGTTCATCCTTTTGTGTCAGGTCTGATTTGCTTAGTTGCTGGGATTTTCATGTGAGATTCCGAACTGAATGGACTCTTGTGAGCTCGTTGAAATACTGTGAGGGGATTGCCTTTTAGTGATTACAAGGGTAGTCTCACTGAGCAGAAGCTTGTTGTTTTGTCCCTCCTTCCAAGCTTTTGAAGTGTTCCCAGTTCCCAGCATAACAAGGTGTTGCGTTTGTATCTTGCAAACTGTTTCCGATTTCTGCATCATTAGAGCCCAGCAACACAAGGTTGAAGTCAGGAACAGATTGACTTTGTGGCAGATTCAGAAGCTTTGTTCCTCATCCAGGAACCTCTTTTCGCATTCACAGGTCCAATCGCTGCGCGAGGAGCTGGACGTGCTTCAAGCCAAACTGGATTGCGCAAGAGCTGCAGCTACGACGGCCCAGGGGCGGGCCAGCAACGTCCTCAAAGCCTGCCAGCGGAAGGAGCGGCAGGAGGCCATCAAGGTGGAGAAGTTGCGGGAGGAGAACGCCCAATTGCGAGAGCGGCTCGAGGAGTTCCTCTCAGAGATCAAAACCTTCGAGAACGGGCAGTACATAGCGCAGATACGCGAGGTGTACTACGAGCTGTTGGAGTTGAACGTGGCGTCAGGGCAGATTGAGAGGGTGCTCCGGCTGGTCCTTTGGAAACTGGCAGGTCGGAAGCTTGGCAAGCTCCCATCGGAGTCGCTTTGCAAAGAGTTCTACCGGGAGATGCTGGCGCTGTCGCACCTGCACCTGGCGGAAGTGTTTGGGGGCGAAGCGGAGGAAGCCGACACCCTTCACTCGGACGGGACAAGCAAATGGCAGGACAAGTTCACCGGCTTCCAGCTCACTCGGTTGGAGCCCGTGAAGGTCGAGCGGGGGGGACGGATGGTGACGGAGCTGGTTCAGAGGTCCTATACGTTGGGCATGCGGCAAGTTGCCGATGGGACAGCAGAGGGGGCGCTGGAGATGCTGAAGGAGATTCTGGGGGATGTGGAGCGCGCCCAACGCTCAATCGACCCCTCTTCGAAGGAGGGGTCCGTGGTTACCAGCATCGTCTCTAAGATCAAGAACACCACGTCTGACCGGTAAGCACTCTTCTGATCATCACTGCGCATATCTGGCATTAGATGAAACGTTCTTACTCCTGGTGAGCATGGGAGAGGCACGAAGGCGCCTGGTGAAAAACTTCTCGAAGAGAAGGTGGTGTAAAGGTTACACCTTTGGTGGAATCCCGAGACTACATGTCTCATTCCTGCTCCCCCTTGGGAGTTGCATGCATAATCTCAGGTGTATGATATTATGAGTCGCAGACTTGCAG